GCTTGGTGGGGTGGAACCCAGGTTGTTCTTGGGGCTTTCTGCTTACAATAAAGGAAGAAGTGATCAACTTCCGGAGTTGGAAATTGATTTTTTTACATAATTTAAAAATAATCATTGTCCTGACGACCACCAGGACACAGAAAGTTGACTTTACTGCCACTCTCTGCTTGTACAAAACAGTGCTGAACACAGCTCAGCCTTGTATCAAATGTCATGGAGTTTATTTGTCACCTCTTTAGAGCTACTCAAGAGATTTTAGAGTGTGTTGGAAAAGGGGAGAATGGATCAATGCTCTTTACTATCATGTTGGTATAGATTTCTAACTTTTTCAGCTTTGGGGAAGGTGCTCAGCAGGAGAAATATTGACATACTCTGCTTTTGTGTTCCAACCTGAAGATTTTCTCTAGCTTCATTTAACTGATTCAGGGAACTGAATTTCAGTATGTTTGCTATCCAATAGTCAGCTAGTGCCAAATTGTGGTGCTTTTAGTTACTATGTGCTACTTTCTCCTAGTTCTCCATCTCAGCATTGCCAACCCCCTACTTTCAAAAGTAATGAAAAGGTCCCAAATTTATTAAATTGGCTTAAAATCATGAGATTTTACAAAGCAAATTGTGATTTCTGTTCATTTGCCTTTTGTTTTTGAGTTTGTATATCTCACTACTGAAAGCTTTTCTTTGCCAGCAGGGGGCTAGAAACTAAAATGAAGGTGAGAGTCTCACATGCTCTGGTAACGCACTTCAGGAGGTGGGCTATAAGAAGGACATACGGGGACTAACCAGAGCATGAGAGCTGCAGTTCCAGAAACTCAGGACATGTTTGTAAATCGATTAGCTGTATAAATATGTTGTATTTATTAGTTTTATAAAAATCCAGGAACATGGATTTTTAAGTGACTTTAATGAAGTAACTTTAACAAATGGTATCATGATCCTAATATGAAATCTACTGTTGGAAAAACCAGACGGGATGATACAATGGTAAAAAGCCATGCTTGCCTTTAGCACCTTTACCTTTTTGACCATGCATGCAGCTGCCCAACAGATGAATTACAGATCTGATTTTGGCCAGTGTGAATGCACCTCTCAGGCATGCAATAACAGATTTCAGTCCCACTAATCAATATGGTGTTAACAGATCTACAGACATCTCAGATTGGATCCTAGAGCTAGTGGGAAAATAGATCTTATTTGTTGGGGGAAAAATCATATAAAATGAAAATATAATTTCCACTTGCCTTTTTTTCACTGATTTGTTTGAGGTGATAAAAATAAAAAAAAAACCCAGTTTTTTATTCCCCCCCCCCGCCAAAAAAAAAATTCAACAAAACTGGAAATTTCCTCATAGGAATTTCTGCTTAATAAAAGAAATCATGTTTTGTAAATAAACAAACAAGCACATAAATGATTTTGACCCACTTGACTATGTTCCTTTATCAGCTGATGAATTACTAAAGCATATCCAGAACTGTCAAATAGTTATCCAGGAGTGACATTTTATGTAGATTCAAACATCTTTTGGGATTTAAAATATCAAATGGATTACATCAATATTCAGTGTTTAATTGTTGGATAGAAATCTCATAGCGGCCAAGTTATTTCTCTTATAAAAATCTGGTAACTTTGCTGCTCATGATGAGGGACAGAGAACATCAGTTGTAGCATGGGAAAATAATTTACAGATGGCCAATACATCTTAATCTAATTCACCACACTCCCTCATGGTCTGGGTTTATACTTTTTTGGGGCAGAAACTGTTTGTTATATTAGCTGAATAGTAGTTTTGTGATACAGAGAAATGAAAATGAAGATGAAAGCAGTAAAATTATTTTCATTACTTTCATGGAATTGAAATTAGGTCCCCTGAAGTCATGTGCTTTTCTGTGAATAGTCAATATTGGTCTACTATATTATGCATGGAATTGAAATCTACTAACTCCTAAATTCTAATTCAATAGCACAGAAACACAAGGCCTCTGCTGACCTATCTCAGAAGTTTGAGTGTATCTCAGAGGATCCATGCAGTCTGGGGTCCTGTCTGGCTACTTCTTCCACGAATCCAAGCCCCAAGAATTTAGAAGAAACTCCACAATGGGAACTGCACAGATATTTCCTGTGGTAGAAGAGGGGCAGGCCCTCTGTCAGCACCTATTACAAATTATTAGATTCCAAGCTCTCACAGTCATTTCTAACTATATGTTTATAATTTTGTTTTTAAACTCCGGGGGAACATATGGTGCTGTTACAGTGATCTTATAGGTGATTTTAACAGTATTGTACATTAGATACATTCCACTCTTCACACTCAGTGACGAGGCTCTGCTGAATTCTCTGTCTCCATTTCCAGAGTTTGGTGGGTCATCACTTCCTCCACACAGAGTTCTACAGTAGCAAAATAAATAGCTGATTAAATAAATGTTTATTTCTACCAGTTATGTGTCACTGTCAATTTCTTTTGACAGCCTGACTGTCCTCTGCAACTTTGAATGACAGATCCTTTTTACATTTTTAATAGTTCTGTTCTATAAATAGTGCATCAAAGAGCTGAGTTCCAAGCAGAGCATTAATCTTCACTAGTTAGAGAATGACTTGTTACAAAACACTCCTGTCCATGCAAATCATGCACTGTGACATCATTCCTTAACTCACAAAGATAAATGATATGCAGGGCTCAATTTCCAAATGTGGGAACCCTACTGAGATGTTGAAATCTTGTGTTGGGATGTTCAGAAAGGCACTTGGATAAAAAGGGGAACCTATATGCCTGTTTGACAATTTAAGATTACATATAAACTATATGAATCTTTGTGCCCCTGTTTGAAATTTACCTCAGAGTATTCAAAAGCAAGCTACAACTATGAACTTTATTTCCAGGAGGGTCTGAGCCACAACATATAGGCTGTGTCTACATTGGCGTGATCTTGCGCAAAAGCAGCCGCTTTTGTGCAAAAACTTGCTGCCTGTCTACACTGGCCGCGAGTTCTTGTGCAAAAACACTGACATTCTAATGTATGGAATCAGTGTTTCTTGCGCAAGAACTATGATGTTCCTGCTCAGGAAGAAGCCCTCTTGTGCAATAACAGTTGCACAAGAGGTCAGTGTAGAAAGGCAACATGAATTTCTTGTGCAAGAAAGCCCTATGGTTAAAATGGCCATCAGAGCTTTCTTGTGCAAGAGAGCGTCTACACCGGCATGGATGCTCTTGCGCAAAAACACATCTCTTGCGCAAAAGCACATGCCAGTGTAGACGCTCTCTTGTGGAAGAGTTTTTGCACAAGAACTCTTCCTCAAAAGAGTTCTTGCACAAGATCATGCCAATGTAGGCGTAGCCTTAGATTAGGATCTAGATCTCAAAATTCCCGAAGTACAAAGGCATTCAGAGCTAGGTTTTTAGTTCAGAAGGGTATATGTGTATATAGCTCTGGGGGAACTGGGATTTCCATTTTGTGAGCACTCCTGTGATTTCTACATTTGTTTTTATTCTGAATCATGAAATAAAACTTTAGAAAAAATTCACTTTGGATCAACTGAAATGTTTCCTTCTGTTTTTGACTTTTACTAAATTATATTACATTACATTTCCTTATATGACACGTAGTTATATGACACATACAGTAACTATTTTGAGGCATTTATCACTATTGAGAGGAAAAGGCGCAGATGATATATTCTTGTCTCCCCAACCAAAATTTTCAAAAATAGGAGCCTAAAGTTAGGCTTTTGAGTCCATATTTAGGTTCCTAAATTAGTGACATGGTTTGTAAAGGTACTGAGAACCCACCAGTTCCTGTTGACTTCTCAGTACATTCAATTAGAGTTGCAGGGTGTTCAGAACTTTTAAAAATCATGTCACCTACTTGAGAGCCTAAATATGGAAATCAGATACTTATCTTTGAAAATGTTGGCCCCAGTTCTCAGATATGTGTATAACAAAAGCAGGTGAATATGATACACAATGGTTCTTAAAAGTTAGTCATGATTCCTTAGTAGGGAGTGTTGCCCTAAAATTCGTACAGGTAGTTCTCCAGTTAATGGATAGACTTCTCAGATTATCAACACGCCCACAGATCCAGTCAAGAACAAGATGCAGACAGCAATTGGGTAAGTCATAAACTATTTCTGAACAGAGACCCTGCGTGGCTAACCCAGCATCTCAGTTATGTATAACCAGCCTAAATGGATTCATTGTTTTCTCTTCAAAATCATGATGGGTGCGTTAAAATACAGGTTATGCATATATAATTAGAACTGATCAGAACATTTTCAAGAACATGAGTTTTCATTTTAGGAAAATGGTGTTTTGCAGAAACTAGCCTTTCACATAAATGTATTGATTTTAATATAAAGAGTTCTTTAAAAGAAAAAATAGAATTTCTGAGATCCGGAGTGGATTTCAATTCCCAGAGAGACGGATCAAAAATCTGACATGTTTGATCCAAAACGGGGGGTCTTTAACACAGTTCTGTTTCACAGACATTGTCAATAGTTTTCTTTTTGTTTCAATGGACTGGAAACACATTTCAAAACCTCAGAAGTTTTCATTAATTGGATTTGTCGTTGTCCAACCAGCACCATATGGAATGTTTCAAAGTTTCCATCTTTTCTAGGATCATCTCTTTGGACAAAATTACCACTAACCCAAGGAGCTAGTTCTTTGGGAGAACAGGGCCGGTCTCCATTTTTTATCTACTACTGATTCTTTATTGGGTTTTTGAATATTACAGCCTTTACATGGGACATAGTCACCTCTTAATTCAGTGTTGTGGCTTCTTACCAAAGGATCTCTCTTGAAGGTTATTATGAAGTTTTCTCTGCCTGCTTTCAATCAGGAGACATGTGGTATGAAGTTTAAGATTGTGGACTAATTACCTGCCTTCAGTCCAGCAGAAGATATCTCCTTCTCACTGATTAGCTTCCTCCCACCTTATACTGCTGACACACTTGACATTTGGGTTATATCACTATTACTGATGCTTCCTCCTCTCCCCTTTATTTTACAGAAATTAAAGTTCAACTTGCCAAGACATCGAGAAGTTCGAGACACGCACCAAAGATGCAACTGCCCAGCAGGTAGGAATCTCAGAGGTCTTGGCACTTTAGAATATACTGTGATATTGGGTTATAATGAGACGTATAATAGAATAAATCTGCATATGGAATGTACAAGTACCTATGTATACAGGATTGGTTACTTATTAATTATATAAATAATAAATCTCTACCTGCTGGAAACTCATGAGAACATTAATATATACACACCCAATATGTGCAATAAAATAGACAACCAAATGTGCTATGTGTCTGCCTGCCTCCAAGGCAGTGACCTTTAAGACCCACAGAATTATATAACTAGTTGAGGCATCTTGTAAAATTACTGCCCTTGATGTACAAAAATAAGTCTATATTTTATGGCGGTGTTCAGTCATGCTTGTTTCCAGTTCCAAAAGATTGTGCAAACACTTCCTCTGATGTAGTTTTAATACAATAGGTGAAAAAAATATTCAGGAGCTGCATTTTATTCTGTCATCATGAGTCATGCAGTCTTCTTTGTCATCTTATAATAAAGTAGACTGTGTATAGAGGAAATAGAGAGGTGGGGATTGTTTTACTTTTAAAGAACAATAGCACTTGTCTGTGATGGGAATGAGCTAAAACCCAGGTCCCAACACTTACACATTTTGGAACAACTATGACAGATAGCCTATTCTGTGCCATTTTCCACAATGGCATAACAGGTTCAATTTGTGTTCATTTTAAAAGACAATGCAAATTGAACATTGTAAACGTGTCCCCCTTCACCCACCAGTCCCGTGGTCCCGTCCCCCTTAAGATCGCCTCTCAGCATCCCAGTCAACAGTAATGTCACTTTGCCCGAGACCTGTCAGGCACGTTACTCTCGCTGATGGGAAGAGGGGGGTCCGAGCCCGCCCTCTCTCACGGACCCCAGTCCAGGGCCCTAAGGACTCGGACGTGTTACCTGTCCGGTCCGACTGACGGGGCCGTAGCCGCAATGCGCCAGGCCGCAGGCTCCCTTTGCCCACCCTGGGCTACTTCCTCTCCCCACCCAGAGTTGGCCCACCAAATCTGAGCCTACCTCCGTGGCTTGGGGCCCATCCGTTGTCCGGTCCCGGGGGTAAGCACTCTCGACACTCTCCCCCCCCACACACACCCGCTCCCGGCAGGTGTTTAAATCCCTGCGCCGTGGCTCGCCGGCGGGGCCCCGCCCGGCATGGCGCGGATGGACCACCGAGCAGCCGGCGCAGCGGTTTGCGGCTTGCGCGGGAGCCGCGGCTTGCCCCGTTCGGGGCTCTCCGGCTTTCCCCTGAGCGCCGCCAGACAAGCGGTCCGCCGGGGGCTCTCAGTGCGGGGCGCCTCTGCCCCGTCACAAACATAAATTAGATGGACTTGTCATTCTCTCTCTTCATCTACACTGTATAGAAGAGATGAGTGAAGCAGTTCAAATCAAATAAGAATCCCCCAGCCTAAATCTCTTTCCAAAGCCCAAATAAAAACTGAGTTGAACCATTGCTGAGTTTCAAAAAAGTTCCACTTTTTCCTGCCATTATCCTACAACTTCGTGCACTGATCCACCCTCAGGTTATTGCCAGGTCTTGACAGATAAGAGCTGAAATACCACAAGCAACAATTTTCTTATGATATTTCTGGAACAGCCTAAAGCAGGGTGTCATGGACTCACAGGTCATGCCTATATTTAGCCACATATGGTCCCTGGGGGAATCCCCCTTCACTGTGACAGCCCTTCTTGTGGGCCCACACTTTCTCAGGGGGATAAGTCCCTCTGCAACCTTGGGCCGCACCTTTTTGAACTTTCACATGCCTGACTCTCACCATGGGCCCTCCCAGAGGGTCTACCAACTCTGGATCTCTGGAGCCTCCACTTCCTGGGGTTATGTCTACACTACCACCCTAGTTCGAACTAGGGTGGTTAATGTAGGCAACCGAAGTTGCAAATGAAGCCCAGGATTTGAATTTCCCGGGCTTCATTTGCAACTTGCCGGGCGCCGCCATTTTTAAATGTCCGCTAGTTCGGACTCCGTGCCCACGGCTACACGCGGCACGGATTAGGTAGTTCAGAATAGGCTTCTTATTCCGAACTACTGTAATGGGTGGTAGTGTAGACATACCCTCAGGAAGTGGAGGGTGGTAGTGTAGACATATGCTGGGAGAATAATGCAGTCCTGCTCTCTAAACCAGAGCCACTCTAAGCAGTGCAAAACAGGAGGGTTTACTGAGCATCTGAACACAGCATAGGAACTCTCAGTGGCTGTGTCTAGACTGGCCAGTTTTTCCGGAAAATCAGCCACTTTTCCGGAAAAACTTGCCAGCTGTCTATACTGGTCACTTGAATTTCCGCAAAAGCACTGACGATCTCATGTAAGATTGTCAGTGTTCTTGCGGAAATACTATGCTGCTCCTGTTCGGGCAAAAGTCCTTTTGCGGAAAACTTTTGCGCAAAAGGGAGAGTGTAGACAGCTCAGATTTGTTTTCCGCAAAAAAGCCCCGATGGCGAAAATGGCGATCGGGGCTTTTTTTGCAGAAAAGCGTGTCTAGATTGGCACGGACGCTTTTCCGCAAAAAGTGCTTTTGCGGAAAAGTGTCCGTGCCAATCTAGACGCTCTGTTCCCAAAATGCTTTTAACAGAAAACTTTTCCGTTAAAAGCATTTCCGGAAAATCATGCCAGTCTAGGCGTAGCCAGGGAGTGGTAGGAAGCTTTGTGGACTAGGGAACACTCTGAACAGTGATCCGCAGCCAATAGGAGCTGCAATTGTGGGTACCTGCAGCCGTGCAGGTAAATATAGTGGTAAAAGCCCACCAGGAGCTAACCCTGGTGGACCGGATCCAGCACACGGGATGGTATTTACCGATTCCTGCTCTAGGTCTTAATTGAAGGTGGGGATGATTATTTCACACTGTGTGCTGCATCTATCCATCATTCCAAAGGCACAGATGGTATTTGCAAATTTCCCTTCAGCCAGCCTCTTGATTCAGTGGGTAAAATGTAGCCATGTTTCAGAACTGATGGCATGGTAGGTAGAGCCTTTGCTGACTCCATCCTGTGCGCACGAGGTGCTTTGATGAGGTCCACAATCCAGGCGGAAATCTTAGAAATCATTTCACCATTGAAATTTTTTTCGGATGCTTGAGATGTCTGAAGGCTAGACACAATCTGGAGTCCAAAACAATGTGACCCTTATGGGGAGCCAAAGGCATGATAAACATGGAAGGGAATCAATATATTGTGAGCACTTGGTATAAACCTCTTCTTCCCTAGCCAGTCTACTCCAAGGCCTCTAAACAAGCACACCCAATCTCCCTTGCTGAAAATAAATGTTTATCCAAAGTGACATTTGAGTCTAACCACAATTCCAAGTCCAACTCCTTGCATGGTACAGAAGGGAAAAGGAAATCAAATCCATTTGCTGAACTTCTCAGTACAGGATATAAAGGTCCTGGACAGTAAAAGGAGGGTCACTCAGACAGTGGGAGGGGTCCACAGCTCTAGGGCACAAGAGGTTTTTTGTGAACTTAAACCATTTGAAGGCAGTGAGTAAGGAAGCAGAGAGGATGTGTAAGTGTATAACTGTGTCTCAATTATCTGGGTAGTCATGATAAGAATAAAAAATAGCCCAGTCAGGAAACCAACAAAGGTTTTTAGGTCTTATATATAGAAAACAATAAGGAAAGATATGTTTCCTAAAACTGGGAAGCTGACACTTCAAATCATTTGTGCTTTGTTTGGGTGGGACTGCCTCTGAGTGGAGTGTCATTTCTGGGTCACTGTGTTTTTGAAGATTGTAGGTCACAATAGCAAGTTTCTTAGTGCTGAAAGCATGTGCATCCAGATTAACAGCACCAAGATGGGTTATTTTAGACTAGATTCTTGGATGAGATAAATCTCCTGTGAACCCTTTCATGTTCATGTAAGCTGCTGGACTTTTCTGGTGCCAGATTGCCTGAAACAGATTTAATGTATGTAGGATTGCCAGATGGTTTAAAAAAAATACCGGACAAAAATTTGATAAACATTTGTCAAGCAAAAAAGAAAAAAATAGCAGGGGAAAATGTGAGCAAAATTTTTTAAAAAGCACCAGGGAGTAACCAGGGAGACCTGGGCTGAAATGCGGTCATAACCCCTTTAATTGCCGCGTGTCCCAAGCCGAGCTGGACCCAGGAAAAGCAGAAAAAGTTCCTTAATTAGAAAATACCGGACATTTATGTGTCCAGTATTTTCTCAATTTGTTTACCAGACATAAAGTCTAAATACCAGACTGTCCGGTTCAATACCGGACACCTGGCAACCCTAATTGTATGTTCTGAGATAGATGCATGTATGGTATCCCTTGGGCTCCTCGTACTACACACTGAAAACATTAGCAATAAGAGATGAACAAACCGTGTGAACCTTGGTTTAGAGGTTTTACAAAATTAGTCCAGGTATTTGAATGACTTTTTCCCTGTAATTTAAATCCATGTTTTTTCAAAGGGCTGTGATTTTAAAAAATGGATGGGCGGGCAAACAGTAAATGTTTCAGGTGGACTTTGAAACCCCACTCCACCTATTAACTACAATTGGTGCTTACATGAAACTAGAGTGAAAACATTTGTGTGGGTATCAGACTGGTTCGTCTGGCAGCTGAGCAACAGATTGTCTTGTGCATAGACCTGTGGTACTGATAATGACAAAGATTAATCTGAATTGTGGTAGAGTATACAGTGGTGCTTTACATTTTGTAAGCGTAGATTAAGAAAAAGTTCTTGCTACAAGGAACTGAGGGTATAAAGTTCTTTAAGGAACTACAACTCAGGGCCTAAAGGAAAAACGAAGTGTAAAGAACTGTAAAGGTTGTTGTCCCAAACACTGGTGAGGTAACACTCATGAATGGACAAACACACAACACATTATCCATGTCCCATCACACTGCTGACTCATACCAAGTCATTAGAATAACAAGAACTATCACACATTCCTGAGCATCTTAACTCCCTTCTGAAAAGTGAGGAATACCCTTACAATCAGGACTACACCTATCCTACCCCAACATGAGCT